AATATACAGATATGAAACCCAAAACAAAAAGAGAGAGAACATCTAAATCTGCAACCCAACACTCACCTTTCCTTGAACTTTAAAATGTGACACCCTCTTCTTCTGACCAGGAAAGAGAGTAGTTAAAGTGCTTTCTGTTTCTTCCTCCTCCTCATCCTCCTCCTGTTCCCTTGAAGGCTAAAAACACACATGAAAGTGAAACTGAAACTGTCAGTTGCAACAGAAAACCCCAAATTTCCACCACCAGCAAAATGTTGAATCACATCCTCAAAACCCCATAAAAGCATTTTAGAGTGATTGAAATGATTATCAGAACAAGAGGAATACAGAAAACTCATTGTGGTACCTGCTTAGCTTGTCTCCCTTTGTCTTCCATCTTGACCTCTTTGGATTCATTAAATATCCGCAGACACTCCTCCATGGGGTCCGAGTCATACATCTCATCCTGCAGACAGTAGTCGTCCACTGCTTCATCACCACCACCACCACCATCATCATTATCATCCTCTGACGATGATGAAGTATCTTCCGAGGTTTTCCTCTTATTAATCACGAGGCTCCCCCGTTTAAAAGCAGAAGCAGACTTCCTCACTATCCTCTCGTCTTCCTCATCATCCTCTTCGGCACTCTCAGCACCGAACAAGTCCTTGTGGCTGAGATTCCTCTGTTTGGTCTCTCTTGCCTCTTTGTGATCAAGGATCGAGCTGCTTTTTTTACTTTTATCTTTAGTGCTACTGCTATTGGAACTCCCACTTCCATGGCTGCTTTTCTTTTTGCACTTCTCCTTTGAGCTGCTCTCAAGTTTTCCGTTCTTTTGGTCCTTGAATTTGGATGGCACCTTATCGTTTTTTACAGGTTTGTCCGTTTTGGGTTTCTTGACGTCGCCGCTTCCTCTCTCCTTTTCCCTTTGGCTGTGTTCACTCTTTACCTTAACTATCTTCTTGTTCGTTTCATCATTACTCTTTGACTCAGCTCCGTCTTTCCGCACCTTTTCCTTTGACTTACTGCTTCCATCCAGAGTCTTACTGTGGTTCTTCTCTTTTTTACTTGAATTTTTTGACGTCTTGTTCACACCTGAACTTTCCAGCCTTTCTTTTGGATTCTTCTTATTGGGATCTTTCTCCTCTTTTTTTGGCTTATCAGATTTAACATTTTTCACCTGACTCACAGACATATTTTTATGCATTTTTTTGTCTGTCCGGTCCAAATCCTGGATGTCATCCGATTCACTCGGTGAGAAGCCATCATCTATTTTAGCCACCTGCTTTCTTTGTTGTCCCATCAAACTCGACTCTCGTTCCTGTTTCAAGCCGATGTTGATCCCCTTGCGCTGCAGGCGGCTTATGGACATCGGCCGATACTCTGTCCCCGAACTTTCCTCGTCGGATTCAGACAAACTTACACTGTACTTCGGGACATCTGCCTTAGGTGGGGACGACCTTGTTTTTTTTGCCGTTGGAACATATTCCTCATCTTCCCCTTGTTTTTTAGGGTAAAATCTCTTTCTCCCATCTCCTTTTGAATACAAAGTTCTCTGTTCTTTAACAGTCGGCTTAGCCGAGTAGTTTGACAGTGGGTCATACTCCATGTCCGTTGTTGGTTTGGAATTATCCAGAGTGTATTTAAACTTGACACGGGATGGTGGCGGGGGTAACAACTTTTTAACTTTTGTTTTGGAGACAGCAGTGGGCACATACTCCAGCGCGTTGGCGTTGTTACTGCTGTTCTCCGAGTCCAAAGTGTATTTGCTGGAGCGAGGGGACGGGGTATATTCACTCGCTTGGCCCATCTGATAGCTCCCAGGATCATAGCCCTGATGGGATGATGCAGGGGGCTTCGGTCTCTTAACAGAGCTCGTGGTGGGTTCATATTCCTGATCTCCAATCCGAGAAAGCTTCTTCTTCTCCCTTTCCATCTCATTGCGAACAGCCTCAATGGCCCGATTGACCAGCTCCAACTCCATGGTCCCGAGGTCCACATCCTGACCCGCCGACAGGCTCGATGGTGGCTCCCCATTATGCTCTCCCGATCTCACAACCTCCGGACTGAATGGATCATATCCTTGATCTGTAAAGTCACAAGATTTTAAAAATCAACCGCAGAATCAAAACAATATATTACACACACACACATACTACATATATATAATTTTTTTTCAGTATATATATACATATACATACACACACACATATATTGCAAATATATATAAAACATATTGTACTAATGTCAAACTAACTTTACATACTAAACAAAATTTATTGCACACTCCAAAAACAAATATTACATTCGAGGGATAAAAGGTTACTGTAACTGTAAGCTGTAAAAGCATTTGAATCAATAAAGTGTTCATTAATAATACATCAATTGAATTGATTGACAGATCCACAGTTGAATTCTGTTTGTTTTTTGATTCTTTGTTCCACAGCAGAAAGCGTCTGTGCATGTAAATGTAACGGTACATGAACCAAAAGACTATCTGAACAAATGAAAACCTGACATCACGAAGACATTTTAATTCACCGTTTGGACTCGCGGAAAGCGCTTTAGTCTTTTTGATGTCGTATATCCCAGAGGCAGCTCGTCTTTGTTTGCTGTGTCTGAAGTGACAGTAGGGTCTGCTGCACCCATCTGCACCGGCTTTCCCTTTGTTATTCTCACAATAAAACGGGCAGTCAATCCCACGAAAGAACCCCGTAGGTCTCAACATTGCGGTTCATAACCACTGTCACTTTATCTGCCCTTTAACTGGTATGTTTTGACAATACATGCGTGGTCATTTACATATCCGTATGTTGCCACTTTCTTTCGGACAACAACAGACTTCCTACGACGCCATATTTTATGAGCGACAGAGGCACGCGAGGCCCCAGCGACCGTCGCGTTCTTTACGTAATATAGTTGCCCGGATCACCCGCCTGTGGGAACTAGCTTAAACTGTTTGCGTCGAGGGTTTTTTTCAGTCGAGCAACTGCTGCATTTTGTCCAAGTTTGTCTTAAAACACGTTAAAAAGCAGCGTTAGGCTTTATTATTGAGCCTTAATATTTTCTTTTAAACAAATAACTTGCGATTTAAGTGGAGTGACACGTGTTACTAGAGGTTTATAGGTGTAGTTGAATGTGTTTACCATTTTATTAGTGAGGTGAGTGTGAAGAGCATACATTGAGAATTTTTCATAAAAACTGACAACACACAAATAGCTTTATTTTAGAAATGGAAAAATAGCATGCAATTCAGTCATTCCCCACTGGAGCGTCTTCGATCCGCAAGCTGGAAACCAATAATTTTTAACTAAGATAGCGTATTTTGAAATCAAAGTAGTGAATCCATTACTATTCGTTTAATCGGTAACGGTTTTGATAACCAGGTCCAAAAAAAAAATTAAAAAAAAAAAAATGCAAAAAAATACATCCATACCAGGCTAGAATTTAGCTGTTTGGAAAGTTATCTTCCCAATTTGACCAGAAAGAAAATCTATAAAGTCACTTAACCAGCCAAGGCTGGGGGCCCAACCAGGAACAATAAACCAGCTTAGGCTGATTTGAAGAAGTTTATTTCCCCTCTCAACAGAAAGTCATTACAATTAAACAAAAAAAAAAAAACAACTACTTTGCACTTTAAAATAGATTTAGTGTTAAGACATTGATACCAAAATAATAACAGTTTTTTTTAAACTCAAATCAGTTTCTGTGAGAGAAACTATACTCACCTTATACATATAAATATACATGCACAATTGAATCCAATAACAAACGCAATCTGGCCAGTGTCAATACAGTCCAAATACACCTCTCACTTAGATACTAACACACAAATTTTGGTTTCAAAAGCTAAACCCTCTTATAATGCTTTTGGTCAAGTGCTCACACCTGAATGTCATCTCAATTCCTAATTAGCAGTATAATTAGAATATAATTGAAATCCTAATTTATCACTGGCAAGTGACGTACATTGCTACATTTCTTAAGTAACAGGTTAATAACCACTAAACAGTATCAAATGATATAGCGTTGGTTCATTGGTGAAAGAAAGTGCTTTTTTAACACTAGAGGGAGACATACCATTATAATAGTGTGAAATATGAACCTCTGTTATCAAGATGCAAAACATGGGTCTGTATTTTACTTTTTTTAGTAATAATAATTGCACACACCTGAATGCCATCTCAATCCATTTTAATTTTTCTAATTAGTGTACATGCATCTTTATGGTCTCATTTTAAGACTGCAATATTTGTAATTACATATTTGTTAAAAATAGTCTGTCAGTGCAAGGCCATTTAAATTATTATTATATATTTTTTTTTATTAACAAATAATAAAACATTTTAAAATGGATTACAATGGCTGAAACCTTTAAATAAATGGTGAGTAGTTGCACCACCTAAAATATCAGCTTTCCCCATTATGCAAGTCAATCTTAAATCTTGATATTGAAAAAAAAAAGCACCTGGTTTTTGTCGACTACCCATTCTAGTGTTCGAACTTATAGTATATTTATACCATATATATAAATAATGTTAATACTAACAAAATTAAAATTGTGCTCAATTCAGTCACGCTCCCACTTGTGAACCTTGTGAAGGAGACACAGTAGTGTGATCCAAACAGTTTGTTCTCACTCCCTCTGCATTTTCAACCCACACTTTTACAGTAGGCAGACAAGCTGCTCTGAGATTTCCATGGCAACCGTGGGCTGGCAAACTTTTCCACACGTTTGCATCAGACTCTGTAAAGAAGCTTTCGGCCCTGGAAAGTTCAAGTGAAAATCAGCATGTTTACTTAGTGAGGTGATACACCATGTGATTCATGCACAGGTGACTCCGAAAACCAAGATTATGTCAACAGGATCAGTCACTCCAAGAGTACCCTTTCTAAGAGACTTGAGCTTTATTAGAAATGTCAATGTTTGCAGTGTCAGCATGTGATATGAGACTCGTGATTCTGTGTGAACACAAGCAGTGGTGGGAATGATAAAGTTCAATTCAACTCAAAAGAACGAACGTTGTTCAAAGCATTTTATTGCATTTTTGTTGGTTTGTTTTGTACAAAACAATACAAAATTCTGCCACAACAGTCATAAATTTAGCTTCGAGTGAACTGCAGTCAGCCACATGGTACAGTAAAGTGCTTCTTTAAATCAATACCCATGTTGTCCCAAGTGAGACGCCATGTCAGATTTTTTTTTTTTTTCCCCAAATTATTATTTTGGACAAGAGTTTAATTTTGGAAATGGACAAACAGTGCTCTTAAAAAACAATAGCCTTCAGAGTTTAGACTAAAGGGTCACATTAGATTATAAAACAAAAATAAAAATTATACACCTGAATACTTTCTCAATAACCTTTGCATTGGTGGGAAAAGAATTGGGGGGTGGGAGGACTTCATATTACAATACTTTACACTTGTTTATAATGGCAAAAATTAGCCTGTGTAAAACAGGAACATTGAATGAGAACTTTCTAACACACCCCCTGAAGAAAAAAAAATATATATATTCATATATTCTTGAGAATCCAAGTCAGATCTGTTACTACAAGGCAACCCATAACTACCATATGGGTAAAAGAGTTGTGAACATTTTGTCAGAGGCACAGGGGCTTTAGAGGACCAGCCAAGCGCCACAGACATTTCAGAAAATACAAACCCAAACACTTGGAAAATCTGAAATATAGCAAAGCCAAGAAGACAGACAAAATACTGAACAGAAGTGGCGGAAAGGTTACTTTCCAGACCAAAGATTGCTTTAAATCTCAGCTTATGAACATTTTCGTTTGCCATTTGTACATTGTAGCAAAATAAGTTTCCTGAACAAAACATGAGGAAACTGTAGCACATACAATTCAAGTCTTACTGTAAGACATAAAAAAAACCCACAAAGATCTGTAAAAAGATTCTTAAAGAAAAGAAAGACAAAATCAATAAAGGTTACAATCAGTGTCATCATAATCAGCATAATGGGCCCTTCAAAATCAAGGACTGCCATTAGGTTTCTCATATCTCAGAGCAACAAGACAGGTGAGTGACACTCTGAAAACATTCAACAGGATCATAATGCTTGGGTGATTTGAACTCCCATTGGTGACACGAATTCATAAAGACGTAATCTGAATCCAGACGACTGGGTTCAAATGTTTTATGCATCTCGGAGAGGGAGAGACGGTCTTTGCTCAGCTCAACCAAGTATGCTGCGTCTTATGAATTGGTATGGGGAAATGCTAAAACTGATCCGAGATCAGCACTCCCAGAAACGAGCGCACTTTGGCAAAAAATGGTTGTATCTTACTAGAAATATCAAGCCATCAATAATTTCTGAGAGAAAGGTGGAGTTTAAACAACCCTGAAATCACTTCCAAAGCAAGAACAAAAACAGTAAAATATGTATGCCTATATGACTTCCTGTCTTTTTTTCCTTCCTTTTTCCTCTCGAACTCGTCACATACACCCTTCTTGCTCTTTACAGCATAAGAATCAACATTAATAAAGTAACAAAACTATATAAAAAAGGAAAACGTTCCACCTGAACAGCACCTGCATAAAAATAAGATAGAAAATATTCTTTCAATAAAAAGTTCAACAAAGCTCAACCGAGTTTGAAACATAAGTGTGGCACACTCTAAATTGGAGTCAACCATTAACGTGTATATAATAGATGTGTGTAAAAAAAAACAAGTAAACTTTCTTAGACCATTTCACTCATACAGCTACATTTTCATGGAAGACTTTTTTTGTTTAGTTTTTTTAAATCCTTTTTTTTTCTGGAATGTTTTTTCCTTTTTTTTTTTCTTTTTTTTTTACATGTTCAGTTACTTGAAAATTATCTCTCCCTCCACTCTTACTATTGATATAGTTCGCTTTTGGTGGCATCCACAAGCTGATAAGTTTGAAATTTCCGTACCATAATCACCCACCTCAAAGTGGGGAACAAGTTCAAAGTTCTCCCTGATACCAACCATCGTCATTCATCTAGTCACATTGGCAAACGTGTGCTTGTGCAACCACCTGGTTGCTTCCCAGCATGCACTTAATCCCAGTTGTGCTCAGAAATGTTTATACTCACTCTTTTCAGTCACCTGACAAGATTTTTGGTGAATTTTACAGGAAACTTATGTTTCCCTAGACATTAGGTTGAATGCATCTGATGCTGCAATTCCAATTTGAGTCTTGCAAGGCAGAAACGTCGCATTCAAAGTAAAATGCAGCAAGTGTACGGATTCCTTAACTAGGGGAACCCACGTCTCAAAAGCAGACTGCTGGGATAGTCTGGCTAATTGATGCAAAGTCTGTACTGGAAGGACACACTTTGGAAGTGCTAGAGTAAAAGAGCAAAAAAGCTAGCTATTCCTATTGATAAGGGGATTTTCTTTTTGGAATTAAAAGGCTGATGAGAAGGACAGTGATGGATTAAGTAAGGTGAGGCACTATTATCAGAGTTTCGTTCCACTTATACAAGATCTCTGCTAAAGTAATGCAAGTCAAAATAGCCTTCATCAGAGTTGCATAAGCACATACCAGTATTTTCAGTATCTGCTGAAGGGGATGGGGATATGCACACACACTCACACTCGCACACAAACGCACATACACATAGCAGGAAGAAAGTTCCTGAAAAACAAATGCAGTTGTATCTCTCATAGAGAAAATTCACAGTGGATCCAGTTGTAATGTGGAAGCAGCACATAAAAAGGTAGGGGGTGGGAGGTATTAGACCTTTGGTGTTCGAGCTGGTATTTTATGCTCTACCTTTAGACAAATTTCCGAATGGCTTATGTAACCCAACCTCCATCCTAAACAGAGTCCAGTTCATTCGCCTTGAGCTCTTAAGGTGATTCCCAAGCTGCCAAAAGTTGATCAAAGTGCTGTAGGAGCTCGTGCTCCAGTGCTTGAGGGAATTAAATGGATTTACAACAGGCACAAACTGAACCACGGTTTAGGAAAGGACTGGGTCTCATTCAAGTGGGAAGAAGAAACGGAGAAGGATTTGCACAAAAGATAGCAGATACTTGTTTGTTCGTCCATTTGAAATTGGAAATTTGTTCACTGGGAGCCCAGCTCTATCGATTAAGCGCAGTCTCCCACAATGACCAGCGGTGCCAGGAGCTGCCTGAGCTCAGATGCAGAGACGGGCGCTCCTTTCAGCAGGCTGCTCCGCTGTCTGCGCTTAGCCAGTTTGGAGTTGGAGGGAGGGGAGAGGCGCATGGATGTGCCAGTGGCTGTGATGACCTGAAGAGGGTCCTGGTGCTGCTGCTCTTCCAGGTCGTCTTGCTCGGCCAGTTGCCGGTTCATAGCAACAGCCTTGCCCGCAAAGAAAGTCAGGTTCTTAGCACAGCTATTCCTGTGAGCGTGGAAGAAAGGACAATGTTAGCCTGATGAGCTGCATATATACGATTAGAAAAGCTTGTAGCAACTCAACTCACCTTTGCGGCAGGATAGAGGAGGGGGAATAGTCAAAGGCACCCTGGAAAAAAAAAAAAAAAAAAAAACATATCATGAAGATACAGCTTTAAAGTTACTAAAAAAAAATATATTTTTTCCATAATTGTAGTGAAGACAACAAAACATTTAGTTCCTTACCCCTTGTACCCAGGGGTGCTGGAGAACCTGAGCGGCGCTGAGACGTTTCTTGGCGTCCCGCACAAGCAGTTTGGAAATGAGGTCTTTGGCGCTGGAGGAAATATGAGCCCACTCTTTCTCTGGAAACTCGTACTTGCCCTCCTGAATGCTTTCAAACAAGGTGTTCTGGGAGAAAAATGAATGTACATGCACATGAATGTAATACTTATGAAAGGTGTGAAGAGGCTGGCATGACTAGACGAGGGCAAGTTTTGTACCTGGCACGCTTGACAAGGTTCTCCATTCTCCCATCCACAGTCGCTTCCACAGCGTCCCACGAAGGGGGGGTAGCCGCTAAGCATGATGTAGAGGATGACACCCAGGCTCCACAGGTCACAACGCTTATCGTAGATTGTGGCCTCTTCGTTGAAGGCTTCCACAACTTCCGGCGCCATGTACTCCGCAGATCCACACTAAGGTGAGTGAGAAAAAGAGGAAGAAGCGGTGAGAAGAAGGTAATCAAACAAGGCAAAAACAAAGAATAAAAAATGAGCATCTGCTTGTTATGTACAGCTGCATTTCAATTTCTAAAGCGTTTTCCCCATCAACATCCTTGTTTACCATGCGTCATGTGTTCGGTGGGACCCCTAAGCACGTCTGAGACAGACTGCATGAGAATCACGTGGTAAACAGCAGGTCGCAGGGGGGGTGGTTGGCGATAGATTAACTGGTTGAATAACAAAGGATTCACTCCCAGTTCTTGCTAACGAAACGCACTTCTGCTGCAGTCCATATGGAAAATGCGATGGTGGCATACAGCACCTCAAATGAAGCAACTGCAGTAAGAAATTATGTCACAGATGGAGGCAGGGTAGTGAGTCATGGAGTTTTTTGAAGGCTCAGCTGCATGCACAGACTTTGTTGGTTTGGGCTCTGACCGCCTCTGCCTGAAACTAGGTCATGTATTGGGACATGATAAAGAGGATTGTGTGTCCCAGAAAACCCACAAACTGTGCTTTATTACATAACAGCAACACACACTTGTTTGCAACCTCAACAGCACACAAACCCACACAAATTTGATGTAAAAGGATAAAAACCTCTCTGGAGACACAGTTCAGTAGTTCAGCAGGACAAACAAAGATTTCTAGAAGGATCTGTAGAACTGAGTTCCTTGTAGCTTTCCTTAGTGGGTTGGGCCAGCCTGCTGCATTAAGCATCTCTTATTATGCAACGCCGACTGATGTCAGAGTTACAAAATAACATTTTTTTTTTTTTTTCATGAATCCCAGAACTTCCCAGAATTCGTACACTACAGCTCTAAGCCAGCTATCAAAGGCCAATATCTGAACCCAACATGAAAACGCCCATATAATTATTAACTATAAAGTACACTTATAAATATATTATTGAATGAGGGTGACGTTCAAAATTGGAAAATTGGGCGTACAGCAAAGTAATGTCGCAAATCCAATGACGGGTATGAACCACCCCCCTCTGGATGCTTTCACAGATGTTCAAGTGCAACATGGTCATGTTTTGGTTTGCGTCTCTGAGGTTAAAGGAAGCGGTCGGTCTGCTCTGCTAGTCTCTTTTGTTATCCTCAACCCAGCTGCCGTTGTTGCTCCGCCTTCCTGCACTTATGTAATGCTATTTCGCAGTGCAGGAATCCGAGTGCAGACAAAAGCTTCCACTGTTGCACCCAACCCCCCTCGACACGGCTGTTTTTGCTCACCGCCTCTCAACACCCTCACATTCAAGTGAACACTTCACAACCACCCCCACTCTTGAACAAAAAAGACTTTCACAAAGCACGACCAATCTAGAGCAGCCCAGCTGATAACAAAAACATTGCTACAGTACGTAACTTTTTAGTTGTTCAACTGTACCAGATTTCTGGAAACAGAGTAACCTGCAATTAATAAATGAGGGCTCACGTTTAGTAGCAGTTGTTCTATAAAATCAAAGTATATTCCTCTAGCTCACTTGTGTGCCTATCTCTTGGTCTTTGAGATAAGAGTGAAGGAGGCGGGTTCAAATGATAACTGCGCAACAGATTTTCACTTTCAAGACAAACTTCATCTGTAAGACTAGCATGGCATTGCATCAGTCACTTTAGAGCAATGTATCTACTAGCATCGAAGAAGTGTTGATATTTATGGCAATTTCCAAGGAAGGACAAACAGGCTTGAGCAGTCGTGTTCACGGTTCAGGTGTTTTTGTGGTTGGCAGTGAGACATGCATCAGTTGTGCGAGCGAGTCACCTATAAGCTACATGTATGCAAATATGAATTTCCCCTGTGGTTATAGGTTAACATTATAGAAGCACATGCAGTGCAAAAGCATAAAGAGAAAGCACTTTTCTACGTGGTTCAGGCAGGAAGGCACAAGTACATCTCAGAAATCATGCCTTTTTAGAAGAATTTGTTATGATCAAAGTACACACACAAAAAGCCTACGGTAACAGTGAAAAGAAATCTCATAAAAAGCCAAGCATTCTAGTGACAAACACAGAGTTAACATCTAGCAAGCTGTAAAAAAAAAAAAAAAAAAAAACCTGATAAGATCCCTGGGATCCTGCCCAAGAAAAACATGTTGTGTGCATGACCACAGAGTGCACTAGATGCTCCTCCCCCTTTCATCCTCCCTCTCACCAAACCAATCACAGAGCAGTTGCTAGGTGTGGGGTGGTAACACAGATTGAAAGACTTATGCCCAGACAGGCTTGAGGAAATATCCACAGAGACAAAAACAAAAGAGAAATGGAGTCTAAAATGTGCTGAAGGGAGAAGGTCCAACAGGAATTTGGAGCAAAAAGGCTTGAAATGTTTGTTTGTTGTTTTTTTCCTTAAGCTGTCCAGAAGTAGCAATGGGGGAGGAAATGATGAAATTGGAACGATCTAAAAACTAGCTCAAAGTTTAAAAATCCCTTCCTGACGAAGTTAGTTGCATTATTGAAGATTGTTTTAACTGTTTTAAAAACAATATTGGGCTTCAATTATAGAATGGACATTATGGTGATTAAATGACAGAATAATTTTATTTTGGGCAAAGTAACTATCTCTTTAAATACATAAAATGTATCCCCTATGGCAGAATCACAGTCTGTGGCTAATAAGCAAGCACACTTACTTTATAAGCATAAAGACAAACCTCACATTGTTTACTTACTATATACACAAGAACCTTTTACCCTTTAACTATTCAGTCCACAAATAGTCTTTTCAACAAGCTGATGGACCCCACTCGGGTTACCCTGAAAGCCCCATGCAGAGGCCATATCACCTGTTCTAAGCCATCTCGCCCCAATCATTCAAATCTACGAAGTTGAGGACAGATCTTTGTTTACACATTCACACTGCACAGACAAACGCAAGAGCTTTAAATATATTTTAAAAAAGGAGTCATAACCGGTTATACTTTGAGATTGTACGTTTGTTTATCCACAAGCTGGTGAAGTCGATAACTACAGGAATGAAGATAAACAAAGAATGGACTCAATACTGCTGCTCCACGATTTCACAACATGTTTTGGCCTCTTTAAAAGCTCCATTCTGCTCATAAAACCATTCCTTGACCTCATCACTGTTTTTAGAATGATTATATTAGCCAATCAGAATGAGCTACATCACTGACACCACCCTAAGTCAACCAATGGCATTAAAGCAGGTCCTCCAGATAAGAAACGACAATGACAATGTGTTCATCTTATCCGTAAACTTCGAAACATTAGGGAGGAGGCCCTTAACGGCTTATCCTGTTTGTCTCTCAACCAAATGCTTCATTTTGTTTGTGCGAATCAAGTGTTCACAGGGTCACAAAGACACTTACTGGAGTGAGGAGCTCTGGAGTGGAGATGGGGGAACTGTCACTGTTGAGTTTAATCCCACTGCCCAGATCAAAATCGCAAATCTTCACAGGCGAAATCTGCAAGAAACAAGTGACTTCAGCTCAAAAAAACGACTATCCGCAATTGACAGGCATGACTACATGTTTACAGTCTGCCTGGAAACCTCACATCATCTGATCAAACTTTTTAAACCACAAATGCAGTGCATCTTGCCAAACATGCCGTCGAGCTCAAAGACTCACCCTGTGCTCGTTTTCACACAAGATGTTTTCCGGCTTCAGGTCTCTGTGAGCCATACCTACAAGATCAGAAGCAAGTCATGCGTTAGTTGTGTGGTATTCAGGCTAAGTGAGGATTGTTGATGGGGGCAAATGTTTCCAACACAGCTTGTTGCCAAGTGCTACTAAAATTACCTTAGCATCCCCTCACCCAACAGTACAGACAGGAATAAAACCTTTCAGCCCACAACTTAACCTAGAAATCCAGTGCGCATCCCTCAAGCTAGTCGATGAAATATGAGCGAGTTTCCAAACAACCCCCATTAACCTTCCCTTTCCCACCCCCCATGTGTAACACCATCTTCTTTTCTCCACTTTTCAGGTCTAAAGAACCCATCCCAATCGGATTTCTCATACCTTTATTGTGAAGGAAGTCCAGCGCACTCGCAATGTCCTGCACCACAATGCTGGCTTCCTGTTCGCTAAAGTATCTCCTCTTGTGAATGTGGGCCAAGACGGAGCCTAAAAAACCCCACATTGTTACAAATAACACCAGTACATGCGGCCTTTACATTTAAATTAAATTACTCAGGGCTGGTCTTTGGGCCCAGGGGAGGCTGGGTAATGTTTCTCAAACACAACAACACACGTACCTCCTCTGAGCTTCTCAAACACAAGGTAAAACTTGTCCTCCTCTTCAAAAAACTCCACTAGCTCCAGAATATTTCTGTTGGGTAGACAAAATATTCAAATAGTTAAAATAACATTGTACCATTAAAATGTATCGCATACAAGGCTTTTATATTTACAGATAAAGATTTTAAAGAAATGAATGGGTTACCGGTGGCCCTGACACTGGTACAGCATTTCCACCTCTCTGAAAACACGACTCCGGCTGTGTCCTGGCCTCTTCTCAATGATCTATGATGTGAAAAAGATACCAGGTTAAGATCAAAGCAAAAATGAGAAGCAACATCCTGAGGAGACAACCGCCCTTTAAAATCGCAGTGACCATTTGGTTACAAATTACGATCCTAAAGCAATAAACAGACACTCCGCTTTCAGGTTTATTTATCTGTGATGTATCAATTCTTTTCCAAGGCTTTGGCAATTGTATGTATATTTGCCAACATAAACATGTTAAGTTTTGTTGTTTTTTGGGATTATATGCATAAATATGCATGCATGTCACCATTACGCGTGTTGCATATAATAAAATTTGATTAAATTAAAATTGAATTACAAAAATGGACAAAAACAGCTTACACATTCTGTCTTGAGGTGAACTATCCCTTTAAAAGACAGAAATATCAAAAAATATCTTCTTTTTTAAAGCGACCATGACTCTGTTCATTCAACCCGCCTGAGTGCAACGACTAAAAGTACGAGCAAAAGTTACTGTTGACATTGAAATCACATCCTCCCCCATTCGAGGCCTCTGTGTTTTCCCGATTGTGTGCGGCTCTTCCAGCTCCCTGGATTAGAAGTGCTATTGAGAGCGTGCAGACGAGCACATAATGCGTATCAGGGTTGAGAATGAGGCCTTCGGGCCAGCGCATTCCCAAAAGCCCCAGCGCTGCCGCCACACGGCTGAGTCAGCAATCCGGTTTTCTCAAAAACCACAAAAAATTACAGGGTATAAAAAATGCTTGAGGGAACCTGAGGGATGTGGTGGCAAATTTCACCTAGTTGCTGGAGTCTAAACATGTTATTTGTTGCACAGAAATTCCTCACAATGTTGCCAAATACACTACACAATACAATAGAGCACAAATAAATCTCCATGTTAGCTTAGGAAGGGGCCCTATAGAGTCTGACTGCTGTCTGTAAATCAAACCACTCTTACACTACCCAGGCCCGGCTGAGGCGGCTACTGGGGTTGTTTTCATTCAGCCTTTCCTTTTGTTCAGACTAGGACGCCACAGATATCAACCCCCCCAACCCAAACCATGCAAAGAGGGGGTTGGCAGGACATCTGGTGAGAGTTGTCTGAAACCCATCCCAGCATAAACTGACCTAATGCTTGTAATGATCCATCCTCCACAGGGATTGAAACAACATCCCTAAATAATCGTATTATCTTTGTGTGGCTGGCTATATTGAAAGAAAACATGTAATGAAGTCTAGGAGGATGATTTTAAGTATGAAAACAACAAATTAAATTAACACCGTCTTTGTGACAATATGATTGTTTGTTTGAGAACACAAAAGTTTTTTCTTTTAAAGAGATAAATGTAAACATTCAAATGCTTAATAAAAAAAAATTACACTTCCTCAAATCAAAAAGTGAAAACAAGACCATTTTCTGGCACACAATGTACATTTCCTAAAATGCTTTTGTTCTAAGTTCCGCAATAAGCAGGAAAGACAAAAAAAAAAGTAGGTAAACACTGCAAGGATTTAACTCCACCCAAGCCCCCCCTTTCTCTTGAGGTCTAGGTTTTGGCAGACTTGCCAGTACATGATGTTCCTGCCTCGGTTCAATCTACCAGCCAATGAGAGCAATAAACGGTAAGAGCATGTGACTTCTCCACGTCTCTGACTGGCCTTCTATCCGGTCTAACAAAAATAACAAAGTCTTTCCGCCAAGTCTGCTCTTGTACAACTTGTACCAACTACAATAACATATCCGAGGTTGTTCAAACATCCTTGTTCACAAATTAAGAACATTACTCTGTAAAAAAAAAAACTTTTTAAATAAACTACACAGACAGCTCAGTTTGCAACAATTACACATAAAAATGTTACATAATGAATTCTGTAATATTACCATTTTAAAAACACGTGCAAAAGTATGACCTGACCGTGACCATAGCTTCAACACAGCTTGCAGGAATCTAACATGCCCTCACCAATCACAAGCAACCGTGCCAGTCAGCATAAAACGAATACAGTCACATAAGCTTGTCAAGAGGGAAATATCATTCCATCCTGTTACCCATTTGATTCAATTTCCAAGAGACAGCTTCAAAGGGAAAGTCCTTTCTAACAATAACCTGTGAATGCCATACCAGCACAGATGCTGCACATGGAGTATCGGTTTGTTTACCACTAGCATATGCTATTTTATGTTACACTAGCCAAAGATGTGCCTGCATCGTCTCAACTCAGGTTAGTTCAAACAAATTTAACACATGTACACTAAAGAAACTTACCTTCACAGCATATTCTTTGTGGGTGATTTGGCTGATGCAAGTCTCTACCCTAGCATAGGCCCCTTCCCCCAGGACCTCATCTTGCAGTTTATATACATCTGAAATCAAAACAAAAGATCTATTAATAAACTCCTGAAACAATTTTGGAACAACTTAGCCATTCAAAAGTAAAAAAATAAATAAAATAAAAAAACTCACCCTCAAATCGCCCTGAGAAGCTGTCTGTTGCCCGGCATCTCTTCTTCTTCTTGTTTCTCTTTTTGGCATCTGGGATGTCGATGGGCCGGCTGGATGGCATGTCTGCATGTCACAACAGATAGAAAGTTCCAATAAAAACCTGATACTCTGTCTGTGGTTAGGAATAAACATCCACAGGAAGTGTCTTGATTATACTAAGAAAAAAGTAAGTGGATGTTATTTGTCCCATATCTTTAAAAGTAAAATCTGCAAATATTGGTGTGAGGTCACGAATTACATGCAGTGCTTTGTCAAATTTCAGGTCTTCCTACTAGTTGCATTAAACGAAAATAAACACACAACTTACCAGGCCGGGCGGAACAATCAAAATTGAAGGCAGATTCAAGGAGATGGGATCCTGTTTTGGAAAATTCTTCAGATTCAAAGGGATTTTGCCCCTGAACATTAAAAAAAGGAAGATTATTCACAATCTGTACAGTTCACACACTGATAATAAGTATCTGCTGGGCATTTAACCAGAGTTCAAATGGATAACGAAGAACTTCCTGGCATTCAGTTTAATATTTAAACGGTCTTCTATGATCTCTGATACCCTGGCCTATGCATGACATTTGTGGCAATTATTATGTGATCCATTGCCTAATGGGAAAGTAATTAAACATTCATTCATGCAACAGCAGTAGAGACTAGCGAGATCACACTCTCACCTTAAAAGAGCGATGGAATCCGGTAACTTCGGTGATCTTGTTCTGCACCATTTTGTCCTGATTTTTGTGACTTTGCTTGAACTGGTGGAGGGCGGCAACAACGGTGGTCTTAGCTTTAGTGATCAAATTCACTTAGCTAACCCAATGTCTTGGGAACCGTGGTGCTTTAAACGGGAAACCTGAGGAAAACAAAACATTCCCTGTCATTTCCTACAACTAGTTTACAACAACCAAATGCATTTACAACGGGATCATTTTATTATTATTATTTTATTATAAAATGCATTACTACTCTTATATCGTTGCAAAGTATTATTTTTGTATATTTCTGACTATGATATTTTCCTTCTGCAGACTGCTTCTCATGCGATAAAAGATGCCAAAAAGGATGCAGAATAACGATAAAACTATTCCAAACAACTCCCATGCTATTGCAAGTGTCCTTTATAGCTTTGTGTGAGGATGGAACAAAAAAAAAAAACCAAGTTGTTATTTACTATTGGCCTAGCCCTAGACCGGTGTTTTGATCATTGAAGAGTTGAACTCGTGGACCGGATCAGTCCTATTCGTGAACAAACCATTTCGGGCTGCACCAAAAAAGCGTCGTTAGATCGTAAAAATCATTACCACCGATTATCTCTACGATCTACTTGTGCTTTTGGGAGACGCAGTCCTGCCTTGTCTCATAAATTGGATCAATAGAGTAAATTGAGATTCAACAGATTCGATTCAAATGATTCGTTCGTTCACAAATCATACAGCGCTAATACTTCTCTTGTGTCTGCTTATTTTGGACTGTTCTTCACAGTCATTCCGTCGTATTGCTCCAGATCCAGACTTGGAATAAAAAAATTAGTCATGTGGACTACTTTTATGCTGATATGCTGACATTTTCAGTCACCACCATTCATTAAGACTGAAGTGAATATAAATTCTTTTTTTTAAATGTCCAATTGTGTGTCAGCATGCATAACGTTAAGGTTGTAATGCCATGAGAATTCTCTAATGTTAACTAGCCCTTTACTGCAACCAGAGACTGTAAAAAATAGACAGCAACAGACGCAGTGATAGCAAGTCACGTCACGAGCAGGGACTTGCATTTACAAGCCTCGGAGACTTGAGCCAAGAATAACTCCGGTAGAAAAGCTCGCCATTTCCATCCGTTATCCATTCAACGACATACGTTATTATCTTTAAGCTACTAATCACGTGCACTCGTGATGTTCAACGATCACCATCCTTAATGATTCAAAACAGCATACAAAGATCGAATCCAAAGAGCCCACTGGAATCACTGTGAAGAAACACAAACCTCAGAAATGCAAATGACAGCGCAAAATTATTGAACCGACCTAGGAGCTAAATGTCATTCCTAGACTTTTCCACTCTACCAAAAATAAACCAAATCAGACCGTTGCGAAGCATCCTTTAAAATCAAGACGTGGAGTTTATTTGTTTATGTCCGCTCATCTGTCAAGCCCCGATCGATCTATCAGCTGATTGTAAAGCTCTAACTTTACTTACCCCGTTATTGTCTTTAAAGCTCCAGGCTTGACGCCGTTGTATGAGCCTCTGCTTCGGGAGCAGCAGATGGTGGCCGTGGGCGGTTGGGACTAATGTGTGGAAGGTACAAAAAGACATGAAGCGATCCTGGGTTTTATAATCTCACGCCCCTTCCTACATACCCACCTCTTTTCAGTTAGACCAGCCCCCTCGTCCCTGTCTGCTGCCTGCTGTAAACACGTACCACACATACTCCACACCGAGAGAGAGAGAGACAGAGAGAGACAGAGAGAGAGAGAGAGAGGGCACGCAAAGAACGTTATGATAGAAAGGCTGCAATGCTTTAATTTGTTCATTTTCTTCTCTAAAATCCTTGTTAAGTAACACCGGTACAGTAAAAAGAATCCACTCAAATGTATGATGAAGCCTCAAATGTCCATAATCTTAATCGTACATACATGACGTCATTAGTAGGCTGTACATGCATTCTGCCTGATGCAATATTCTGCAACAGACAAATGAATCGTCAAAAACCCCATCTGACTAAGCGTGAGTGTCAGGAAATATAAAAGCAATAGCTTATAATGATACTGCGATGTGTTTTTTTTTCTTTGAACTAGGCCTATATAGGTAGGCCTATACTCATTTATTAGTTTGTATTTATATTGTCTATATAGCTATAAGTCTGTTTCTTACTAAGGTTACTACACATAAAAATGTTACAGTTTCATAATAATAGTAATACCGTTAGGATATATCCTTTTATGATGTAAATAAATAAGGTTTAAATGAATGTATAATTATTTAATGCAGGAATTTTAAATCCTTTGTATCAGCCCAACTCCTTTGACCGAAATAATTATTTGATACAGGATATAAATAAATATTTATTTGAAAACTTCAACAAATGAACAACAATTTTACATGTTCACTCTGATTGTTTAGTTCTCTTGTAGCTTCAAATGCATGTGGGTTACACACCACCAGAACAAATTTTGTCATTTTGAAACTTAGTCTCATCTTAATTAGAACTCTAACCCACCTTTTCCTTATCAGGATGGAATCTTCTCACAGATGTATGGGAATGTCGGAACCCACGGGCAGACACACTGTAATGACAGACACCGGCACGTTTTACAGACATGCTGAGTCCAATCAGGAGTAACTGATCCCCATGCTGGTTCTAATGAAAGCTTTGATGGTTTCAACCCCTTCAATGTGCCAAGTAAGGCATAGAATGGTTTTGATACCGGAGTCATTTTTAGATTTGATGCAGTGTGCATTGTCACAAACATTGTGAAACAATGAAATTTATCCTAAACAAGGTTGTGTCAATACATATTTTGTTCTCCGATGGCTCAGGATTTATTTTCTCATGTGGTCAACTAATTCAACGCCACTTAGGGCCATTTGGGTCTGAAGGAGATCTTGTGACTCCCCCCCCCCCCCCTCCCTTTTGTCTATCTTTCTAGTTGCCCTCTCAGTGTGTTTTGGCCAATATATTCAGCCATGAAAACAGCCCTGAAGATTACGCAAAGTTCAGTGCAGGGCTTGGGAGGAAAGAAGCACATGATGAAATACCAAGTTATGTTGAAAACAAGCCACGTGATAGAGGGAGGAGCAGGGGGTACTCTGGGTTAACAGAATGTGGCCTTCGTAAAAGGGTCCAAATGGTATTCTAACTCTCTATTGGCAATGCATAACAGAGTCAATAACCGTAGCACACACACATAACAGCTCAAAGAGGGTTTGTGAGGGTGGAATCTGATTGGTGAGGTTTTATGGGTGTGTTAGGAAGAGTAGGCTTACTCTCTGATTATTCTGTATAGATGATGGCACTGTTGAATGTACGTTGCAGGAACATGTAACATTTTATGAGGAGGAAAAGTGAGGAGGCCCCTCTTTAGTGGAGAAAGTGAGAAAAAGAAGTGTTCTCTTACGAGAGGTTCTCTCGTATTGCGTAAGCTAGCTTACGCTACGGGAAAGATTCATCTTTGCTGAGAAGTTGAAGCCAAAAAATTATTCCATAATTTTGTAATCATTGTCAACGCAGTCTCCTCTGAGGCAGACCATGAGCGGGCTAGCTAGCGGCTCATTGGTTCGCTCAGAGAGAATGCACGAACCTATGGGAGAGCGGCGCTGAGTCCGCGGCCAATGAGCGGACGGCGCTCGCTCACTGCGTCACAGCCCGCCAAAAGGGGCGTGGCTACAGTGTATAAAGGTCGCTCTCCCAGCTCGTTCGTTGATTCTTGTTCATTCAGCGAGCTACACGCATCCGCTGTCCTGGGAAGAAGCCGCCGTCGTTGAGAAGGCACCGTCTAGCGAGCTCCGGAGTCTGAGGAAGCCGGCCGTCTGCCACCTTCAGCCGCCCAGCAAGCTAGCGCCATCCGACGCGTATCCTTTTTACTATTCCATATTCCTAAAAGAGCCGAGCGTCTTTTTCAAGATGCCTCGAATTTCCTGCGGCTCATGCCGCTCTTCACTCGAGGAAGGAGACCGCTTCTGCGTTCTCTGTTTCGGAGTGGAACACGCAGAGCTCGCCAACGGAGGATGCGACCACTGCGAGGACCTGCCTCCGTCTTCCCTGCGGGCTCGACTACAGGCAGTCAGAACCGCTCCCGCGCCGCCTCTCACTTCGCCGCGGAAGAAGAAACGCCGCTCCCAGAGGCCGCCGGAGCCCCCTGCGGATCCATGTGGGCCGCCGCCGCCGCCCACCGACCGCTCTCCCTCTCCGCCCCTGCCGGACTTACAGTTGCCGCCGTATGGCCGCTCTGTCGCCTCCGACGACACCGCGGATGAGAAGGACTCTTGTTCGCTGCACCCTTCTGACAGCGAGGATTGGTCGTCGATCGGCTCATCGACGAGAGAGTCTGCGGGGACCCGCGCCGGCATCGAGGAGGATCTATCGCGCCTCCCTTCGCAGGCCTTCAACCGCCTGGGTCTCGAGTGGTCTCCTCCCCCCGAGCAACCACCGAACCGGCGCTTGACCCCCGCCTGCAGCCGGGCTGCACCATTCCTGCCTGAGCTTCACTACGAGCTCACTAATTCCTGGAATGCCCCTCTTTCGGCTCGTATCCGCTCCGAGGGGTCCGCTTCGCTCAGTGGACGGAGCCGCCGAGATGGGTTATACTGCCATGCTGCCCGCGCCTTTGCCGCCGCCGAACAGGCCGCCTCAGCGCTGCATTCCATCCAGGCGCTCCAGAGCGACATCTTGTGCGAGATGGCGAACAGCGGTAGGAACCCGCCCATCCTTTCGGATCTGAGAAGCGCGACGGATCTTTCCCTTCGCGCCACTAAAGCCGCCGCACAAGCCCTGGGAAAATGCATGGCCGCCCTCGTTGTCACTGAAAGACACTTGTGGCTCACGCTCACCGATATGGGAGATTCAGAACGCGCCCTGTTCCTCAACGCGCCTATTTCTCCCACCGGGCTCTTCGGATCTGCCGTCACGGGCATCGTTGACCGCCTCTCCGAGGTTCAGAAAGCGACTCAGTCCATGAATCTGTTCTTGCCCCGCCGCTCTAGTTCTTCGACAGGCCGCTCTCACGAGCCTCCTGCCAGAACCCCACAGCAGCGCCCGCCTCAGCAAGCTCAGCAGCCCAGCGTAGACAGGGCGGCCGCCCTCGCTCTCGCTCAGATAGCCGCCGCAGACAGCCTCCTCCCAGGGGGCCTCGACCCAAGATCGCGCTGAAGCCCGATCAACAGAAGTCTGCCTAGCACAGCTGAGAAAAGGACGGCTTCTCCCGCTGCGGCCGGATCACCGTAAAAGCCTCGCCCACTGTTAGTCCCCGTCTCACCGCTGACTGCAGTAGTGTTTACCGCCACAAACAAGCCGGTTTCCCTGCCCGCTTGCGAGCGTCTAAAAGCCGTTTTCACGGCTATCCAGAGAGTTCACAAAAGAGCATAAAAGCCTCAAGTGTAATAAATGTGCCCACAAGCATGTGCTCACATACACACTCAAGCACCTTATGCCCAGGGTCTCTCACAGAGCCCATTCTCACGGAGCGTGCACTTTCCGCTCCAGCAGCAGAGAACATAAGCACGCCCACGAGCCCGTGCGCGTGTCCCCCTCTGCCCGCTCTGTCACACGGCCCATAAAACTCCTCTCTGAGTGTAAGTCCCGTTGCCACCCACATTATGAGCGTGCCCACACACAGTGTCCAGCCCGCGATGTGCAGCTATCAGGGCAAAATCGCCATTCAACCGCTTACGAAGCGTGGGAAGCCATCCCTGGCATCTCCCCGTGGGTTTAAGCATAATAAAAGAATGGTTATCGATTACAGTTTCGTCGCCGCCCGCCACGCTCGCGCGTGCGGCTCGAATCCACTGTCAGCCGCCCGCTATGAACACGCTTCGCTTAGAAATAGCCAAGCTACTGCAGAAGGGCGCTATAGAGAGAGTCCCACCATCTATGACCGAGTCGGGGTTTTACGGCCGTTATTTTCTGGTTCCCAAGAAAGACGGCGGCCTCAGGCCGATCTTAGATCTCAGGGCTTTGAACAAAGCGCTCATGAAGAGACCGTTCAAAATGCTCACAGTCAGGAAACTCCTCGCGCACGTCCGCCAGGGGGACTGGTTCATCTCTCTAGACCTGAAAGACACCTATTTTCAGATCCAGATAAACCCTCATCACAGGCCATTCCTACGTTTCGCCTTCGAGGGCCAAGTTTACCAGTATGCCGTTCTCCGTTCGGCTATCCTTAGCACCCCGTACGTTCACGAAGTGCATGGATACAGCGCTCGCCCCCCTGCGAAGTCAGGGGCTGCGCATACTGAATTATCTGGACGACTGGCTGATGCTAGCAGATTCCCAGACGGAGCTGCTGTCGCACCGCACAGTTCTCCTCAACCATCTGGAAGCGCTGGGACTCTCTGTCAACTGGACAAAGAGCTCTCTCCAGCCCAGTCAAACTATTTCGTTCCTTGGAATAGATTTGAACTCTATCACTATGACGGCTCGCTTATCCACACAGCGCGCGCGCCGTGTTCAGCGCCTAGCCGCCTCGTTCAGATGGGTACCCATACATCCCTGAAATCGCTTCAGAGGATGCTGGGTCATATGGCTTCAGCCTCCGCTGTGCTACAGCTGGGTCTTCTGCACATGCGCCCCCTTCAACTCTGGTTATAGAGCCGCG